TAATTGTGAATTGTGCTGCCATAAACATTCGAGTGCAGATGTCTTTATCATAGAATGTTTTGTGCTCTTTTGGGTAGATGCCTAATAGTACTATTGCTGGATCGAATAGTATTTCTATTTTTAGCTCTCTGATATTTTTGTGTTTTATAAATTTACTATAAAGGCAAATCCAAGAAAATCCATGAAATGTTTTTAATAATTATAATATTGCCTACGGAAGTGAACATTTTATTTTATTTATAAATGCCATAATGTTTCCTAAAAATTCTATCATTTAACCCAAAATGACTTTTGTTACATGCTTAAAAACATATTTTTCCTCATGACAAAATGGGGAAGATAAAAGTGTCAGAATTTACTCTTTCAAATATGAGACAATATTCTTTATTTTACATAGATCTTTCCTGTTTATTAAACTTTGTTACTCATATACCTTCTGATTATGTTTAAGAATTTTGCCATATAACACATTTTATATGTAATTTAATTATTAAAATTCTGCTTTTGTAGATGAAACTCAGATTAAATGAATTATTATTTATATTTTACTTTGGTATTGATGCCTATGGACTCAATAATTTGATTAGAGAATTTAAATTTACAAACATTCATTCACTTCTTCCAGCTACCTAGGATCTATGAAAGGAACATTAGCAGCAGAATTAGCAAATGTTAGTTTTATGTTTTCACTACATTTAAGTGACCACAAATTTCCCAAAAAGTGTGAAATATCATATTAAATTCTTGCTGAAATTTTAGCTAGATGAAAGCAGGTATTGATGGTCAGGGTGGTATATAGGTATAGAAATCGAAGAGAAGAGGGGGAGGTCAGGTCTAGGTTTGTATGGTATGGTTGAGTGAGAGAATGAGATCGTGGGGAAGGTGGATTTGGTATAGAAGCTGGTAAGTCATATCAAAATACTGGCTTATGGAGGCAGGATACTACATTGAGTAAAGAAAAGAAATAAAGAGATAAGTGATAAGCAATAAAGACATGATTTTTCTGGGGCTTCTTTCTATTGTATACCAGACATAATGGCTGATTCTGTGAGGAATAAGAAGAAAGTGTATGGTACATATTTTATCCTTAAGGAACTAATAGTCTACTGGGCAAACAACATGAATATATGCTGTTTAAAGAATATTAAAAGTAAATGTAATATCTAACCTAAACATTTATACCCCCGTAATATACTGAAATAAAAATAAATAAATAAATAAATAAATTTAAAAATTTATATTTTATCCTAAATAAATTCCATTGACTTCTTTTTTGTATTTTTTCTATCAGTACAATTGATTATATTATGTAGCCAAACAAAATATATCCTCTAATTTCACTCCTTATTTTAGTTTCTGAACAATAGGTAGAACCACAAAAGAGATATTTTGGCAATCAAAATATTCTAGGATTTTATAGTTTCATTTAAAGACACAGCTTCAGTTACAGATTTTTTCAGTTACAGAAACTCAATTTTGTCAAGGCAACCAGAAATTATCTGAGTCAGCAAGATTTACTCATTGCTAAATTTATGATGGAATGACATATAACCAAAGCTCCAAATTATTATTTTGCATTTAGAAATACAACTACTAAGTAGACCAGAATGTTTTTGATGACTGGTCTAAATATACACTATTCATAGGAAGAGTGATACACAAATTTATTATGTAATTGTATAACATGTTTGGTGGGAAAGAATAGCAAGGCAAGTAAGTTATAATTAATGATTGACCAGAGCCATTTAATACAAA